ATAAGGTGCAATCAAAAGGGTTGAGTGCTTAAAGGATCATGGGACTTAGTAACTTGGGTTATAATAACCCCAATTAAGGTACTTATAGCCGTATTTACTAAGTCCCATGATCCTCCAAGTGTAGGAGCCCCCGAACCCTAAACCCGCTCCGACCAACCCGAAATTCCAAGAGAACGCCTGAAGGGCTCAGCTGGCTCAGCCCAAAACACCCTGAACCAGAAAGACAAAACAAAACCCCAAAACCCCTAAACTCGAAACAAGCCCTTAGACCCCTAAACCTGTAAAGCCTTAAACCCCTAAACCCTAAATCCTAAACCCCTAAATTTTGAAAAGAACCTGCGACTGTTTTCTGGTTCAGGGTTTGGGGGTCCATTATACTATAACAAGGAACCACCAAAATAGCACAGGAAATTAAAAGAGGCCCAGAGTTAAGGTCGATCGGACCCGGCACCCAAAGCCTTCATTGGTTTAAGGTTTAGGGTTTAAGGTTTAGGGTTTAAGGTTTAGGGCTTAGGGTTTAGGGTTTAGGGTTCAGGGTTTAGGGTTTAGGTTTTAAGGTTTAGGCCAAAGGACCCTTATAACCAAGGGCCCTTATATGCCCTTATACTATGATTCCCTATATGGTATATGTACCGTAAACCCTTTTTGGGATTTGGGTGTTTCCGAAAATAGGGGACCCTAATATAGCACCCTAAATAGTAGGATCCGTATTATAACCAAGGGCCCTTATACTATGATTCCCCTATATGGTATATGGGGCGGTTATCAAAAAGAGGTTCCCTTTTGGGGTCTCTAATATAGTACGGCACCTCATACTTAAGGTACCCAAAAAGGCATAATTTTGACAACTACCCTATGCCCTAAACCCTAAACCCTAAACCTTAAACCCTAACCCCTAAACCCTAAACCCTAAACCCTTCTTGGGTTCGACCCCTAGGGTTCAGGCTCCGAAACCCAGCTTCAGGGGCTTGGGAGTTTAAGGTTTGAGGTTTTGGGGCTTTGGGGCTCTAGGATTCCTTCTAAGGTTTAGGAGTTTAGGGTTTAGGGAATAGAGGTTCATGTAGGGGCCTTAATGACTAGAATAGGGGCTTGGGGTATATGATACTATAGTTGTAATAAGGGACCCTGAAAATTGTATAGGTAATTATTCAGGCCCCCATATGAGGGGTTCCGGGGTTACCTTTCAGGGTTTGGGTGTAGGCTTTGAGGTTTGTCCCATGCCTCCTACGCGATGTCGTGGCTTAAAGTTTACGGTCTTATGCCCCCCGACCAATCTCTCAAATCCGAAACCCTTCAGCCCCGAAAAGCGAACCCCAAATCCCTGCATATGGCCTGCAAAACCCTTGTACAGTCAGGTTCAACCACCCCTGGCTAATCCTCCTCCTTCTAAAACCCTAAGCCCTACACCCTCAAAAATACCCTAAACCCTAAAACCCGAAATCGAAAAAACCCTAAGACCCGCTTCGCGCTTCTTCCTGGGATCCCCGGCCGCTGCCGAGGAGGCGTCGCGGGTCTTCCGGGCCACGATCTCCAGCTCGAGAAGGGCATCCTTTAGGTACTGCCCCCATACAGTAAGAGTGTATAATAGGGCGACTATTAAGGTCCTAACATACCTATAGAACACCCTGTAATAGTGGTGTAATTGGAATATTATAGGGCCCTAAAAGAATCCCTATAGTTACGATTACAGGGTGGGGGCAGCTTCTAAGGCATCCTCAAGAAACCTTAAAACCCCTAACCCTTAGAACCCCTAAACCTTAAAAAAAACCCTAAACCTTAGAACCCTTACACCGTAAAAAAAAAAACCTAAACCTTAGAACCCTTAAACCTTCAAGCCCCCTTAAAACCCTAAAAAAAAAACCTAAAAACCCCTGAACCCAAAGTACGAATTCCGGGCAATGCTAGGGCGCTGGAGGCTCCACGAGCTGGTTTGGGGTGTAATATAGGGGCCTTACTAACTAGAAGAGGGGTTCCTCTAAGGGGTTAGTATAAGGGATACTATAAGGGTACTATATTATAGGGGCCTTACTAATTAGAAGAGGGGTTCCTTTAAGGGTTAGTATAAGGGATACTATAAGGGTACTATAGTATAGGGGCCTTACTAACTAGAATAGGGGTTCCTTTAAAGGGTTAGTATAAGGGATACTATAAGGGTACTATAATACAGGGGCCTTACTACCTGGAATGGGGTTTTGGGGCCCGGTATACGATAATTATGAGCCCGCCCCAAAATAGTATCCAGCGTACATATTCCCTAAACCCTAGATTCTAAACCCAATTTGTTGAGACCCCTTTTGTAGGGTGTAGGGACCTCGGGTCTACGGCGTCTGCGAGCTCTAAGACCTACTTGTTGCGGGACGGGGAGATTCATCCAAGCCCGAAAAAGAAACTGCTAGGGTTTAGGGTAAGTTTAGGGTTTACGGTTTAGGAAACTGCTAGGGTTTAGGGTTTAGGGTTGGGGAAAATGTAAGATATCACTACACTCTGAAGAATACTACCAATTCTCCAACTCAAAGCCCTGGCAAAATAGCAAAATAGCTTCAACAACCAGAAAACCATCTGCAAACCCAGAAACCAGAAAAGCAAGCCCTCTTTCCCATGAGTCCTTCAGAGCCAGGCGTGAGAGTTTGACTATTGGGGCCGCAGCACCGTTCCGATCGCCTCGGGTCTGCAGCCAGGACTAATGCAAGATGCAGGGCTTCGGCACCCAATCTACGGTTGATGATATAAATCCTGCATTACCCATAATAAGGAATTTACCATAATTCCCATAGTTTAGGGTCCTGAAGGTAATGCAGGATTTGTATCAACAACCGTAGCACCACACGTTGCTGTACAGGAAGGAGTCATAGCTTAACGTTTTGCGCTGGCCTGCTTCAGCGGCGTCGGCAGGCATCGCTCAAACGACCACAATTCCGTGTCGACACACGAAAAAGCGTGCCAGAGACAGAAATCTGGCTTGAAGTAGCTCAAGGTCAATCAAATGTTGTCGAGTAGAGCTGATGCTAACGCAGTCAGGATTCAGCTGGCTAGGTGACGTGGGCTGGGTTTGGCTGAGTGTACTGGCCACTCCAGATATTACGAGTGCTAGTGCACCCTATGCCCGAAACCGTATCGAAACCAACACATTGCTATCCACTAGACCAAGACGGGAGTACGAATAGCAGAAGCAAGAACAACTTGGCACGAAGCCTCCCCCTCCTATGTCCTGAAATCAGATTCATGGGGCACTACTTTCCCTTAGATACTGTAGTAATATGCTGTGGTTTAAAAATTTACACCCTACTAAGACACCTCGTATAGGCAAGTGTATAGTCTAAGGAACATTCTTGACTAGTAAATTGCAGTCTCTGAACGCTCTGGGAGGCTCGGGCACTGCAGCACTGACGGACACATGGCGCGCGGAGGCTTCATAGCGTGTAGAAGCTGCATGTCCAACCGAAAGCGTGGTAACCCCAAGACATGCTGTGCTGCAGTGCTCTGCCACAAGCTCTTGCCGGAACATTTCTGCGAGATTCTGCTCCGTCGCAGGCGTGGGCCAACTCCTCGCTGGCTCATAACTGGGAAAGAACGTCACTCCTGGCTCTGCCGTTTACCGTTTAGGGGTTTAGGGTATGGGGTTGTGCTCAGAGACCCCAAAATAGTTCCCTTTTGGGGCTCATATATAGAATCCTATAAGGTAATCCCCAAAAGGAACTACTATGGGGCCTCTGCGTGGGCACAGGCAAAAACGGTTGGATGAGCTGGCTGTGGGTACGCTGCCCAGGATGATAGGGCCAAATCTCAGGAGGAGGCACAGCATAACGCAGGGACCTTATGATTTAGAACAGGTTGTGGCGTAAGTATATCTTACTGATCATGAAACATTTTTCGGGCCACATGGGGATAGAGTCCGAACCAAACAGGCCCATCTCGTAGATGTTCGGAGCACTGCCGAGGGTTGGGCGTGGGGTGTTCTGTCGTCGCGATCAGCAGCGGCGTCATCGTGGAATCAGCATCACCGTCCTCATCAACACGCTCATCACCAATCACAATCGTCATCGCCCTCGGAATCATCACCATCACCATCGGCATCACCATCGCCATCACCATCACAACTGTTATCGTCGTCATCGACATATACTTCCTATGATTATTATTCACAAATCCTCGTCTCCATCGACATCCTCACCACCATCATCATCATCATCACCATGGCCGTCAGCGAATACATGAAAACTTCTCTTTACCTGCTTGCACCCTCTCATGAAGGAAGTTTGTATAGGTTCAGTGTCGAACGAGAACAACAGGCACAACTCCCAAAATCATCCCATCCATGCAGAAATCTATATGAAACAGTTTCTCATAGCTTGAAATCTTGAGCCCTCAACCCTAAACCCTAAACCCTAAATGACCCGAAACCCTAAACCCTAAACCCTAAACCAGTCGGATGGGTCTGAAGTTCTCTGAACCTCGGACTTCCCCTGCTGCCGCTCCTGATCGTGGGGCTCGCATAGGCGCACTTCCACCTGGCAGAAACAGACGGAGAGACGGAGAGACTTGACTTGAAGTCAAAAAAAAAGAGACACAGAGAGAGAGAGAGAGAGAGAGAGAGAGAGAGAGCGGTTTCTGCAGACCGCGTCCAACATGCACCATGCAAAACTTGCCCTGCAGGGCTCGTGCCAAAGATCCCTCAAATCCCACCTTGGGGCGCACAAAAGGCGATGATCTGCCGACATGGACGACGGAAACTCCCGATGAGCCTCAGTGAAGTGTGCAGCTTCACCGCAAGCACCAGTCCGCGACAGTCCTCAGTGCGAGTTTTGGAGACAGAAGTCTTATCTTCGGGGCCACTCCGACTGGCAACGAGCAAGCTCCAGTCTCCCCAACGTGCACACTGCTGTTCTCCGAAGGCAAGTCTTGGTTCCGATGCAACGGCGAAGTGCACGATGCACGCACGGATGTGCCCCGAATTATGCTACACAGGCCCTCTGCACTCTTGGCACTTCACAATTCCGTGGTCACGATGCTCCATCAGGTTGTCCCGACCGGTCCGCATTGTCTGGAGCATGAGCGTCACCGGCCTTGGCCAACGCCTTGACCACATCGAAGTGGCCGTTGGCCATTGCGAAAGTCAAGGCTTTTGCACCATGCTCATTCCGGGCGTCCAGCTGGGCCCCGGCCTTCACCAAGGCCTCGACGATTTTCAACTGGCCCACTTTCGCAGAATGTATGAGGGCTGTTTCGCCAATCGCATTGCGGGCCTCCAGCTGGGCTCCGGCCTCTAGCAAAGCTTCGACAACTTTGACGTGGCCAGCGGCCGCAGCGATCAGCAGGGCAGTGCCGCCTCGATCATTGCGGACCTCCAGCTGGGCCCCGGCCTTCACCAATGCCTCGACCACTTCTAGGTGGCCCTCTTCCGCGGCACTTAGGAGGGCTGTGGCGCCGATCCGGTTGCAGACCTCCAGCTGGGCTCCGGCATCCAGCAAGGGCTGAATCAGCTCCGGATGTCCTTGCGCTGCGGCGCACAAGAGGGCTGTGTTGCCGAGCCGGTCCGGAGCGTTCGGATCGGCGTTCTGGCGGAGGAGTTGCTCCACCTGCAGTTGCCTCTCCGGGCTGTCGAGCTTCTGATTTACAAGCGCCTTCGAGCGTCGGTCGTGCAGGTCCCGCAGCAAAATTTCTTTCACTCCCTGCACCTCCAGAAACTTGCCCACGTCTCCATGCTTCCACAGCGAACGCTTCAGACGTTCAAGCAACAGCAACCCAGTCTCTGTAGGGAGACCGGTCTCAACGGGGGCCGCTGGCTGACAGTGAGTGTCCACGGCCTGGCAGGGGACGGGTCCATACTCCTACTTCAATGAAAGAAGCCCACAAAAAAACTTACCAACGCAATTCCTGAAGGTTCTATCATACAAATAACTGAATAACTTACCGAATAACTATATATATATATATATATATATACAGTATGATTACCCCGAAGGGCTCAGATCGCTCACCGGACCCAGCTACACGACCTCCTATGGGCAAATGCTCCTCACGATGGGGCCAAGCCAAGAAGCTTCAAGAGAGCCCTGGCACTACTCGCGTGGCCACGGTCGACGCCACTCCCAGGGCAAAGGAACCCTAAACCCGAAACCCCCAAGCCCCCCTAAACCCTAAACCCCTAAACCCTAAACCCTAAACCCCAAACCCTAAACCCCAAACCCCTAAACCCCTAACCCCCAAGCCGGACCGGGCACAGCCAGTCTGATTCTGGCTTGCGCCTCCAGGGCCCTTCTGGGCAAGAAAGTCCACCACAAGAACATTGTACAAGAAAACCCTATCCAATGAATTGCTAAGGCGGCCCCTATGTATTCCGTGCGTATAAAGTTTCTTGTTGTGAATATGTTAGAATACACCCCAACACCCCTATTCTAATCATGGAGGCCCCTACCTTTTTGGGTCCCTATTATAGTACGGCACCTAATATTTAGGGTATCCAAAAAGGGGCCCTAATTTTGACAACCACCCATATGCACAGTGCGCCCCTGGAGATTCCGGCGCCCACCTCAAGGAGCTCCCCGTCCTTCCGGTCCTGCTCCGCTTTGGCCTCCGAGAGAAACGACGGGGGCCTTTTGTAATTAGAACAGGGTTCCTTTAGGGGGCTCGTTTAAGGGGCAAAAAAAAGCGTCCCTACAAGGGCAAGAACATCAACGAAGAATTTTGTTACGAATACTGTCGGTAATTCTTTAGGCCACCATACCCACCATATTCCAGCACCAAACAACTGCACACCTCCACGAGTTTCTCCACATGCTCTGCCAAGGCCACATCCAGGCTGCAGTGCCCAGCGCAGTCGATGCACTGCCACCGGAGCCGCGACCTCGTCGCGAAGGCTTCTGGGCTCCAGTTCGTCATGGACTTGGCCCAAGATGGCAGGCGGGCGAGGAGCCGCTTCTGCAGCGCGGGGCTCGTCTGATCACAGGTGCCCATGAGGTCCACGACGATCACATTCGGAGACCAGAAACCGAGGCCCCAGGCTGCTAGCCCCACTGTTGGGATCTCATGCGTGGACAGCACGGACTCTGACAAGTTACGCTCGCCCGTGATCTGTTTGTTGACCAGTGCGATGACCGTTCCCTGTGCACTTTCGTGCATCCCGAGCACGAAGCTCATGCTTCCGATTGACCACATGTTTGCTGCAAGCGCGCTGGTCTGGGGGTCCTTGTAGCAGGCGTCCAGGACCTGGCTCGCATCGATGGCTTGGCCCAAGAAGCTGTCCGGATGGACGGTTGCGTGCTCTATGGCCTTGGCAAAGTTGGAGAGCGTCGTCATGGTCGTGCGGTTCTCGGGGTCCCCGTCCCAGAAACCTGCCCAAAGTAGCGCACGATGACGAGTCTCGGTCAAGTTCACCAGCCAGCTCCTCAGAAAGGAGAGCGCTTGGTATCGAAGGAGGGTTTTGCTGTCCACATCGAGAGAGGCCACAGCATCTCTGGAAACGCGAAGCGTCTCCACGAGATCGCTCCCCAATGCGAAGATGTCGCTGACGCTGTCCGCACAGGTCTTGTTAGGGAGAATGTAGGAGTCCGGAAGGTAGTCGAGAAGCCAGTCGGCTTTCCCCGGCAAGCTCTCACAAGCAAGGGTGAGATTGTTCATCAACCGCCCCAGCTGCTGATGGCAAACGCTTGCGCTGGTGCCCTGCCAGCCCTCCCTGATGCGGGCAATCCGCTCTCTAAGCGTCCGCTCCTGTGCCTCGGCATCGCCGGGCTCTTCCCTGCTGCTCTCCACTTCGGCTGTGGCCGCCACCAAGCTGGTCGTCAGCAGCTCCTGAATCTTCTCGGCCGAGCTCGTTGGGTGCTCGTGCCACAACACCGGATGGTGCTCCGATCTGAGCGCCACTGTCACACAGAGTGCTGCTGCAAAGGCCGCAAGTGCCGGCAAGGTGAAGCGCAGCATCACGCCATGATCCTCTGGAAGAGTACATGGAAATATATGGAACTTTGCATACACCAAGCGCAGAGTTGCTTGAGAGCAATGCCAGCGGCTCTGTGGGACATGCAGCGAAGGCCTTTCGCAGAAATTAGAAACATCACCTCACAACGAATAGGCATGTCCTTTGTACAGTAACTAGCTGAGGCCACCGCCGCTGAAATACTCTGGTGAGATGTCCGTCTCTGCCAACTGCTTCTAGGTACCACCGATGGCCTATGCAACGTGCTTCGGTTGATGATATAAACCCTGCATTACCCATAATAGCCATAATAAGGAATTTACCGTAATTCCCATAGTTTAGGGTCCTTAAGGTAATGCAGGATTTTAATCATCAACCGTTGCAAGGAAACCCGAACACTTTTTGGGAAGGTTCATGGCACTCGAGAGTCCGATCAGACCACTTAGCTCCAAACCCCTAAACCCTAAACCCGTAAACCTCTAAAGCCCTAAACCCCTTAAACCCATAGTCAGCAGACCACCAAGCCCCTCAACCCTAAACCCCTATATACACTCAGGAGCATCATCATCTTCGAAATCCCTTGTCATCATCCTCATCACCAGCAGCAAGACCTCGCTGTCGTTGCCATCACGGCTACCATAGTCGCAATATCCACGCACAAAAAAGTTGTTTCTGGGCTTAGCTGGGATCCAGGGTGTAGGGCTTCGAGCTTAGATTAACGAAGGATTCTTCAAGAGCTTTGTGAAACCTAAGGTTGTAGTATCCTTAAGGGAGGGGGGTCCAAGGCGGGTATATAGCCTAGTGATCCCTAATTCTCCCTAGTACTCCCTAAGGTTCCCTTACAGTCCCCTAAGGATTCCTTATACCCTCCCCCCTTGAACCACCCCCCCTTAAGGATCCTATAATAAGGTGTGTCTTACGGTTCCAGAGCATGGAGTCATCTTCCAGGCGCTCCAAGGCCACCTCAATACTCCAAATGCCGCGGTTTACCCCCAAATCCTGAAAGCCCGAAACCTTTTGAGCCCTGAAGCCCCAGAAAGTGACCTCTGCGGCATGGCAACCCAAACCCCAGGACTTGAAAACTTCTACAGCAAGCCCTAGACATAGGGTCTAAGGTTTAGGGCTTAGGGCAAGAACTCCAATCCCTCAGCCTCAGCCCGAAACCTATAATAAACACTCCTTACAGAACCCTCGCAGAACTCTTTAAAAAAATCCCTTAGTGAATCCTGAGTGAGAAAAGACAGCCAAAAGCAAAAGCATAAACCCGAATCACGAGGTCGCGACGTGGATCTGGAACGGAACCCACGGGGCGGGAATCTCGACCTTCCAAAGCTTCGCGCGGGGCTTCTTAAAGTTGTAGTGGTTTCCTATAGGTCTTAATAGGTCTTATGGGGTGTTCAAAGGGTGTTTTAGGGTTTACGGTTTAGGTTTCCATAGACTTTGATCGAGAACTTCATGGGGTTGCAGTGGTTTTCTATAGGGTCTGAAAGGGTTGGGTAGCACATGGAGACTATAGAAGGCCATGCGTTGGAGACCCTCCTCCTTGCGTGAAAGCTTCGGGATCTTTGTGAAGGCCGCTTATGACGGCTTTTAAGACAATTTTGTGAGGTTTTGCTGGGTCTGTGCAAGAGCTCATTATGGCTTACGAACAGGGCTTCACGTAGATACCCTTCAGCTCTGCTTTGAGAATCCTCAAACCCCTATGGTTAAAACCCTAAACCCTAAAATCCCTCAGCCGTAGCCGTGAGCTCAAAACTCGTAAACCCATAATTGAGGATTTTGGATCTCCTTGCATGGCCGCGACACCCAAGCGCTTCTCTGCCGACTGAAAAAGCTGCAGGACCTCGACTCAGCATTAAGAGGCTGCAGGACTGTTTCAAACAAAGTTGGGTTTCGTTAGGATTAGGGTGTATATAGCGGTTTAGGGTGTGGGGTTTAGGGTCAGATTTATAGACAGGGTTGCCGGGCTCACTTTCTTCTCTCCTGCCCCGACACACCCGAAATATCAAGAGAGAAAGTGATTATCGGGCTACTCGCGAAAGGCTCAGCCTTAAGGCGAACCACGCCCCAAACTGAACCTGCAACTGTCTTATGCTTCAGGGTTTTGGTTCTAGGAGCTGTGTGTACGGTTTCATGGTTCTGGTGCACTGCGCACAGCTTCATTGGCCCAGCCTCCAGTGCGATGTTTAAAGTTTCCGATCTTAGCCCTAAAACCCTAAACCCCCAACCCGAAAACCCTAAACTCCAAAGCCTAAACCCTAAACCCCCAAGCTCTAAACCATAAACCCCAAAGCCTAAACCCTAAAACCCTAACCCCTAAACCCTAAACCCCAACGCCTAAACCCTAAAACCCTAAACCCTAAACCCCAAAGCCTTTAAACCCTAAAACCCTAAACCCTAAACCCCAAAGCCTAAACCCTAAAACCCTAACCCCTAAACCCTAAACCCCAAAGCCTAAACCCTAAAACCCTAAACCCTAAACCCCAAAGCCTAAACCCTAAAACCCTAACCCCTAAACCCCAAAGCCTAAACCCTAAAACTCTAAACTCCAAAGCCTAAAACCGAAAACCCTAAACCCTCGACCGAATCTCAAGCTCGAAACCCTAAACACTCCGGCTCCTAAAGGTCAACCCGCAGGCGCATAAACCCCGCAAGACTCCCATGATACGGTTTAGGGTTTAGGGTTTAGGGGTTTAGGGTTTAGGGGTTTAGGGTTTAGGGGTTTAGGGGTTTAGGGGTTTAGGGGTTTAGGGTTTAGGGGTTTAGGGTTTGGGGTTTAGGGGTATAGGGGTTTAGGGTTTAGGGTTTAGGGAAGCCCCTACGGATCCCTTGTAACAACCCTGGCAAAATAGTTCTGTATTCTCTCATATATGCAACCGCTACAGAACCCTTACATCATTTCGCTCCTTCTAAACATCCCTAAACCCTAAATACCCTTGTAACGCTATACACCCTAACAGAAACCCTCCTGGCTGAGGCTTGGGGCTCCAAACGGATGCCGAGGAGGCGTCGGGTGTTCCGGGCCGCAATCAGCTCAAGATGGGCATCCTCTACGAGGTCTTAGCGGGGTATCTACAAAGGCGGGTAGCAAGGTTGAAAACATTCGATAGAGCCGCGCTGACTGAGGAGTTCTTGCTTCTTTCATGGTCATTTACAAACCTCTGAGCCCCAACACCCTTGAACCCTAAGCACTAAACGGGTGAAATCTAAACCCTACAACCCTAAATCCTACAGCAGTGCAGGTCCGGTAAATCCAGACAGTAGCGGCCTCGCGATCAACTTACCTTGGGTTAGTAGGGGATGGAGGAAGGGGGTACAGTTTTAACTACTACTACTACTACCATTCTTCCATTCCCTACTAACCAAAGGTAGGTCTTGTGGCCTCAGCCTTTGTTCTATTGAAACGACCTGGCCAGGAAGATCTGAGTTCTTGTAAAGCACAGTGTGGTTTAAGTGTCCACAGTAAAGGTTTCACACGGTTTGTTACTATGGCTTTGAGGTTGCAAGGAGCTTAGTTGAAGTATCTAGTCATAGGTAAGTATGTTGTTGGCTTTCTGTGCTTCTTATGGTAGCTTGCACAAAGGTGAAGAAAGACCCAACATTACACACCTACGCCAGTTCAGGGATCGGCTGGAGTAAGCAGTAAAGGAGTAGGATCTGAAGTTAGGAATTGTGGGATGAGTGTTACCCTTACCGATTTGGGGATAAGGATGAAGAGGCTCGACTATGCGAGCCAACGAGCCTAGAAACCCGTAATGGGAGTTTCCGAAAATAGGGGTACCTTATGTTGGGGTCCTTATAACAAAGATCCTACTATGTAGGGTGCTATATTAGGGTCCCCTATTTTCGGAAACTCCCTAATTCACTACAGTACTCCTACTCAAGCCCTGACGCGTTTGCTGTGAATTTCTTGACACTTGCACCTCGGCGAAAATCATCCATCTCCAAGCCCAAGCACTCCACACCCAGACATCAAAGAAACCAAGGCGTCCGGCAGGAATTGCTGCACAGGATGGGAGGCCGAAAGGGGGGTTCAAGATTCTTGGGGTAGGGATTCCTGAATATGAACCCTATTATGGGAACCCCAATCCCTACTAAACCCCGCTAGGCTAAAACCCCTTTTTTGGCTGGAAGGAACGGCAGGCCTGAAGTTCTCTCGACCTCGGACGGCAGAGAGACCGAGAGGCCTCAAGGCCTCACCACCGCACGCGCTTGAGTTTGGGAGACCAAACTCTTGCCTTCGGTTTGAATGTTGTTTGCAATTGATTTTGTCGGGTTTCGCAGGGTTCTCACGGTGGGTTTTTCGGTTTCGTAAGCTATTTAGGTTTTCTGCGGATATTGCGGGGTGAGTCAGTTTCCTCGTTGGTTGCTGCAGAGGGGTTCAAGGGTAAGGTTTCGAAGTTTCGGGTATGGGTTCGTGTTTTCGTCTCTGCCATGAGCTGATTCAAGCGCCGACTGATTTTTCGCGCACCTCCTGAAATGTTTCGGTTTTGCGCAAGCGAGGTTTCAACATAGTGTGATCATCGCGTGGCTAATACTGGGCTCCAGCCTTCCGCAAGACTTCGACCACCTCTGGGTGGCCACCGAATCTAGCGGCTTCAACGGCTGTGTTTGCGCCGCGTGCAGCCATTCTGAGTGCTGTGAGGCCATGCCCATCGCGGGCATCCAGCTGGGCTCCAGCCCTCACCAATGCCTCGACCACCTTCAGGTGCCCTTGGATTGAAGACAACATGAGGGCTGTGGTGCCGATGTCCCTGCGAGCCTCCAGCTGAGCTCCCGCCGTCAGCAAAGATTCCACCACCTTCAGCTGGCCGTTGGTTGCAGCGACAAGGAGGGCCGTGTCGCCGCGCTCGTTGCGGGCCTCCAGCTGGGCGCGGGCCTTCACCAATGCCTCGACCACTTCTAGGTGGCCCGCTCGCGCAGCACCCATGAGGGCTGTGGCGCCGAACCGGCTGTGGACTTCCACCTGGGCTCTGGCATCCAGCAAGGGCTGAATAAGCTCCGGGTGTCCTGCGGCTGCAGCGCACAAGAGGGCTGTGCTGCCGAGCCGGTCCGGAGCGTTCGGATCTGCGTTCTGGCGGAGGAGTTGCTCCAGCCGCAGTTGCCTCTCTGGGCTGTCTAGCTCCTGATTTACAAGCTCCGCCTCCGAGACTTGGTCTGGCAGGTCCTCCCCCCAACTGGCAAGCAGTCCGCCCACCTCCCAAACCTTCTCCAAGTCATCCTTCTTCCACAGCGACATCTTCAGCCTTTGAAGCAAACGAATCTCTGTGCGGATACCGGTCTCAGCGGAGGCCACGACCTCACAGTGCGGGTCCGCGACCTGGCACGGGACGTGTCCATCGGTCTCTAAAAGTGTGGACCCTAACCCCTAAACCCCTAAACCCTGAACCCTCAACCCCTGAACCCTAAACCCCTAAACCCTAAACCCCTAAACCCTAAACCCCTAAACCTTAACCCCTAAACCCCTAAACCCTAACCCCTAAACCCCTAAAGCCCTAAACCCCTAAACCCCTAACCCCTAAACGCACCTCGTGAAGTTCCCGGTCCTTCCGGTCCTGCTCCACCTTGGCCTCCAGGAGAGGGAAACGGGTAGGGCCAGTAGGGTTCTGGGGTTTAGGGTTTAGGGTGTGCCAAGCCTGACGCGCGGCTGCTTGTTTCCCACCCGACCCACCCGAGGTTCGTTGTGTATTCAGGTTCATTTTCTTTTTACATTTCTTTATCATTCAAAAATACAACAAGCACGAGCAAGACGATCCCGATACCAAGATTCGGATCGGTTTTGCATCGCGCGGAAGTTAAGTTGTAGCCGAAGGATGCAACTTAACCTACGCGCAGATGTTTGATAGCGAAGATTTGGGAAGTTGTGTATGAGAATTTAATGAGAAGGATATCTGGAACCACTGTGATAACCGCAATCCGATCCACCGCCGTGGAAAATCCTTGGGAATTCTTTGGTCAATGTCATAGATCTCGTGCATCACCACTGCGCATGCATACGGCATTGATGGCGTGCTGACGTTTCAAGCAGGTTTGTTGTCCCTGCTCACAAGTCTTTGTCAGGTGCATGCTTCGTCGCGTCTACAGCGAACGCACAGGGCCTAAGAGGCTTGGCTGCAGACACAGGGGGCAGCCCTGTCTACCCCGTTCCATCAAGAACCCCGCAGCTGTTCCTCACCTCGCGTTTGTTCCGGCGTCCATGCACAGGCTCGGGATGGAACGGGGTAGACAGGGCTGCCCCCTATGTCTGCAGCCAAGCCTCTTAGGCCCTGTGCGTTCGCTGTAGACGCGACGAAGCATGCACCTGACAAAGACTTGTGAGCAGGGACAACAAACCTGCTTGAAACGTCAGCACGCTATCAATGCCGTATGCATGCGCAGTGGTGATGCACGAGATCTATGACATTGACCAAAGAATTCCCAAGGATTTTCCACGGCGGTGGATCGGATTGCGGTTATCACAGTGGTTCCAGATATCCTTCTCATTAAATTCTCATACACAACTTCCCAAATATTCGCTATCAAACATCTGCGCGTAGGTTAAGTTGCATCCTTCGGCTACAACTACGGATAGTCCGGCCGTCAGAATCGCGCAGCTGCTCGACTGGTTTTGCGGGGAGTAGGATTTCAGGTTTTATAGGGCATGCTTGAGAGGGCGGGGCGTTTATAAACAGATAGAGCAGTTGAAAGGAATATGGCCAGGAATATATACTTGGCATAAGTCTGTACTTATAACATGCCTATGTCTAGACATATGGAACATATATTCGTGCTAAACAATTATAGGACTTATTATGTGAGGCTGTTCAGATAGTATTTACATATTAATCGAGCCAAGTACTTGGAACACATAGCCGACTTAACTATACCTAGTTATATCTATGTTACTGGACTTAAGCATCTCAGGCACCGAAGTTATAAGTTCATTTAAGTATATCGAGTAAGTCCTGTATGTTCAACTTAGTGTATGACAGAACTCAGACAACTGTACTTGTTTTGCAATCTCCATGCATGCATTCTGTGCTTCTGCAGCAGGGATATTTTCGATTGTTGTTGGCGGAAATGGACGGATCTACAGGATTGCTCATGCAATTATTGCTGAATTTGCTGTGGCAAGCAGCCTCGGCGCCATGCAGGGCAGTATTGCTCGCAGGCAGCCGGGCTGCTTGCAGGGGCATGTGTTTTGCAGCGATCATGTTGAGCCGCCAGCATGTGCAGAGCTGTTGGTTCAAGCGGTTTAGCAAGGAATCTACTTTCGCCTGCGATCAGAATCGCTCGCGATGCCTTTGACCCCGGAGGCTGTGGCGGAGATCAGTCGCCTGGTGGAGGAGAGCAGTCGGAAGGGGGACTTTATGGTTCGCAATGTCCAGCAGATCTTTGACGTGCTCAAACGACACTCCCTGCTTCAGCGGATGCGAATCCCACCCAAGGCTGTGGGAGTGCACCCAGCCAATCGTGATGGGTCATGTCTTGTAGTTCAAGACGTACATGAGTTGTTGGACAATATCTCCGCTGTCGGCTTCGAACCGACTCGGACGAATCCCATTGCCATTGAAGCTTCCAGCGAGGCTGAGCAGGTCTTCAACAAGCAGCTGGTTGAGTCTGCAGGCGGTCAGCTCGGCCGGCTTGAACTTGGAGAGCTGAAAGTGCTCTCCCTCAGCAGTTCACACACGAATTTTGCACTTCGGTTGGTTGCTGATGGAGCACCCCACAAATCGGAGGTAATCTCGGTTCAGGGCAGTCTCTCCAGCTAGTGCAGAAGCAGGACCCGGTGCTCGCTGAGTATGTACTCCAAGGCCTGGAGTGGACGGTCATCGCAGCTGAAGTGGGCCAGAAGTGGCCAGACTTGTTGCAGCTGGTTCAGTCCTCATGCAATGCAACTTTACAAAAAACGGAATCAGAACTTCAGTTGTTGCGGCGGATTTGTACCATCGTGGGGCGACAGACCGGTGTGCCGGTGTGCCCGACTATCAGACGGTGAAGAGACAAGCCCTGCACTCGAAGCCTCCGTGTGCAGAGTGCCTCCCAGGGCTGTATCAGTTCGCACTCAGGTTTCTTGCTTGGCACTTTGATTGTAGATCTCTTATTATATATAGTGTCTGTGTTTAAGAGGTTTTGGACAGTGCCTGCATGCAAAGTATATAGAGATGCAGGCATTGTGGCGGTGCGGATGCATTCTTTCTCGCCGAGACTGAGATGTTCCTTCGCAGTCACGGCCAGAGCAAGGGCATGGGACCTTCCTTCTGGGAGAATGTGTCGGCCGGCTTGAAAAAAGGCGACCAAGTGACCTTCTTCAGGCATGCTTTGGTGAAACTTGCACTGAGCAGCAATCTGGTGACTGCCACATCTGTCAAGAAGGCATTGGCCAAAGATGCCCTTCCCAAGGCCATCAAAGCCGACGAGGTAATGTCCAAGGTTCGCAGCATGCTCACCGGAGCCGGTGTGCAGTTGATGAGCGACACTCGGCTAGTGAATCTCTTGGGGGTCACGGATTGCACGATGGCGAAGCTCGTCTTGGGCCTGAGCCCTGAGGACGACAAGAAGTACAAGGCTGTGGAAGCAGTGGCCCATGATTGCATCACGGTGGCGAATGGCCTGCTTGGGACAGCTCTGCAGTCGCCTTGGGCGGGCGATGCGGAAGTGATGGATGCAGGGCAACAGCAGGAGTCTTCGGGGTCCCAGGGGGTCTAGGAAAGACTCCGGGAGCTGAATCCAGACGGCAGCCTCAAGAATCCGCTTGAGCTCCTCAGTGCTGAGGGCTTCATCGTTGGTGCCTGCATCAAGAAGAAGGGCGAGAAGTTCGAAGGCCAAATCGGCGCCATGGACGACAGCAATGTCACCGTCAAAGATCTGAAGTCCGGTGGAGTCTTGAAGGTGCCGGCGAGAGATTTGCTGAATTCGGGATGGATGGTTTTCAAGCCGAAAGCGGAGCCCGAGTCCATTGCTACTTTGCAGTCCATGGGGCCCAAGAAGAACAACGATTTCTTGGCCGGCTTGGTGATCGCTGAGATTCATCAGGCAATGCATGAGTTGGTCAAGACCCACGATTCGCAGAAAATTCTCGAGGGCTTGTCTCTGCAGCTGAAGCCATGCAGAGCTTTGGTGAGCCAGCAGGTCTTCGGGAAAGGCAAGCTCATGTTGGTGCCATACAGCTGGAAGGTTTGCACGAGGAGCCCGAAGCCCGAGCCCATGGCGAATGCAGTCCAGGTGCAAACCAAGTGGAAGCTCGACGATCGTGAGTTTTGGTTGCAGAGCTGCAACTCCTTGCCGAAGGATAGCAATCCAGAAGTGGGCAAACACTTCATCTCGCCGTTCTTCTTGGTCGGATCCTGCGAAGACGAAGACTCCGCCAACATGGTTCAGGTCATGTCCGGGACCGTACAATCGTCGGTTCGCATCCCAATGTTGAAGAACAGCAAGGAGATTGGCACGGGGACTGCTCTGCATATCCTGAAGGTGAAGCAGGCTGACGACGAGGAGCATGCCCCGAAAGCCAAGAAAGCCAAAACCACCAAGAAGTGAGCATTGGCTGTCATGTTCTGAACATGCATCGGGATTGAGTCTTCCTTTCACACGAGCAACATTGGCAGGCAGGGACGGACCGAGGCTTCTTCAAAAGTGTGATTGCATTCTTTTGAGCACCTCCAAAGGCAGGAGTTTAAGTTGTTGCAATTGTGCTGTGCCTCGTGCTTGCTCTTCAGCGCCTGCAGGGCTTCTTTAGCTCGCAGGCAGCTGAGTGCATGTTGTTTCGATTGCAGGATCTTCTGGCTGATCATTTCTATATAGGAACCACATAGCTGGAATCTGCCTGCCATGAACTTGACTGTCGAGCAGAAGATGGTGCTGTATGTGAATGGCAACCATTGCATCCCCGAGCAAAAATCTGTCGACGGTGAGACCTACATGCATCTCAAGAAGTGGGATCGTGCCCTTGTCAAAACACTGACAGGGAAATCCTTAGACTTGCGGCCAGGCAAAGCCAGTGGATCGTTGAACTTGACATCTGGGACGAAATGATCCGTGCGAGACAGGACAAGGCAAACCAGTTGTTGCAGGAGGCATTGAACACGGAGGAGGATGCTGCGACGGAGAACAAGAAGAAGTCCAAGAAGCTGCAAGTGGTCAAAGCCCTATCGAAACATGCACTGGTGTTGCCGCTGAAATTCACCATCTCGGTCCAGGGGCACGAGTTCCAGGTGCTGTTCGACGGAATCGGAACAAAATCGGTATGGATCGAATTCTCCGAAGAGAACCTGAAATGGTTGAAGAATAGCGTCGACAGCAGTGAGCAGAAACCCCGCAAGAAAAGGCGAACCAGTCGCCGATCGGGCAATGATCAGGAGAAGTCGCAGGAGAAGTCGGATGATGACAACGATGAGAAGAACGAGGAAAGCAGCTCCGAGAACTAATGAGATTCGGCCGGGTTTGCTATAGCACATCGTGTTCTCTCGATCAGCCACATGCAGACAGAAGTGAGAAAGTGTCCATTTGTTTGTGACATGCATGCATTCCCATGATGCAGACAGAAGTGAGAAAGAAAGTGTCCATTTGTTTGTCACATGCATGCATTCCCATGATGCAGACAGAAGAGAGAAGGTTGCAATTTGTTTGTCGCATGCAAGCATTCTGGAAGCTGCTCAGCATGGAACATGGCGGAATGCATCCATGATTCGAGGCCTTTGGCTTTTGGGGGCGGGGCTTTTAGCTTTGCTTAGTCCGGGGCCATGTCGGGGTTCACGATGATGTGTTCCGGAACCCCTTCCGCCGTGGACCCAGTTTGGTCTCAAAAGTTGTGGTTCTATAGACTCGGGCAAACCTGCAACTTCCCAGGATGGTGAGCAGCGGCTCTTCATGGACGAGGTGGAGGTCGAGGAGAACTTCGTCCAGAGCAAAGGCTGGCTGCAGTCTTCATGCAATCCTGTGGACAAAGTCTTTGTGTGTCGGCATGCAGGGCGGAAACCGTGATGGGTGACTCCCAGCGGGAGCAAGCTCAGGTGGACGGGGCCACAGTCCCAATGGCGGGGCTGGCACATCGACAGCAAGAACCAGCAGTCGTTGTGGCACCACCCAGATGTGGGCTCGGTGCAGCCTCCCCTCAAAGGCTGGAAGTACTGGAGCCACCAAGAAAACCGGTACGTTGCCAGCAAACTCCTCCTGCAGAGTGTGGTGGATGGGAGACTTGTGCCGCTTCACGAGGCTGGCAGCATGTTGTGCTTCAAGTTGGTTTCCCTAAACTCATAAAATCCCGAAGGACCCTCGCCACGAGAAGCATGCCGTGGAGGCAGGGCCTTTTCCCAGTT